GATGATTTTCTTTCTCAGTGTTGTGACCAAACAAAACCGATCGATCGATGTTTATCGTGATTAGGAAAAGGAATCTGAAAGACATTTAAAAAGTAACTGAAATTGACACGACAACACATCCATGCATTTCAAGATAAGCAAAGTTATTGGTCGTTCCTTGAGCAAAGTAACGGAGATCTTACCTTTCCATATTGCGCCCCAGCATCTAGAATAGCAACTTTTTCTTGCCCCGTTATTGGCTCCGACATAGCGCTATCGTTTTGCACTACGTGACCGTTGATACACGAACCCATTACAGCCACTTTGCTGAGGTTCGCCGCCATTTTCCACTTCCCGCGTTTGCGTACGAATATTTGAAACAGAGGCTAATGCGCATACTCTCAGGTCAGCGGTCAAGTTCGGAAGTTTTCGGTGTCTTACCGATCTGTGCCGAGGTAATTTCGGGAACTTTCCGTTTACTACGGAAGAAGAGACAGGAACAGTTTGTGAAACTTACATGACGAAGTACCCCATACGAACTAGAAAGTTCAACATGGCGTGGGATACGTTTTCGCAGCAGCAGGTTGGTCATTTATGGCGGTTAGCTACTCATTGCGCAGAAGAGAATCCAAGTTTAGCAAAGTTTTACTTGAGCGAGATTAGTTCATTGTCTAGGGGGGACTCATCTCGTTCATTTGCGATGAAATATTGCAAACATTGTTTGCAGTTGTTCACAGCTGAAAATTGTACTGTGAGAACGCTGCCAAAACGCCGAAAGAAGAAAAAACAAATACAGGAAAACAAGACAAATGAGAAGAAGGAAGGTAGCCACAAGAAAAGCAAAGCATCCAAGGTTTCTCGAAAGCTGAATCGTACAACTGTGTTTTGCAAAACTTGTGGCAAACATTACTTTCACACAGGCGTAAGATCAAACACAGGTTCACGTGGATTGTCAACTACACCACAAATAACGTGGAACGGTGTGGATCTTAATTCTATGCCAAGTGCAGCAGAAAGAAAAAAACTAAAGAAGCAAAGACAGAAGGCTAAAAGGTTAAAGGGGAGGCTGGAACTAGAGGAACAACAGTCAGGTGAAATATGTAATTATTCACTTGGTGAGAGCACAGGTCCACGTGGATTGTCAACTACACCACAAATAACGTGGAACAGTGTGGATCTTAATTCTATGCCAAGTGCAGCAGAAAGAAAAAAACTAAAGAAGCAAAGACAGAAGGCTAAAAGGTTAAAGGGGAGGCTGGAACTACAAGAACAACAGTCAGGTGAAATATGTAATTATTCACTTGGTGAGAGCTTACATGTAACGATGTTGGATACACCACAGGAAGCCACTGTTAATTATTCACTTGGTGAGAGCTCACATGCAACGATGTTGGATACACCACAGGAAGCCACTGTTGATTATTCACTTGGTGAGAGCTCACATGCAACGATGTTGGATACACCACAGGAAGCCACTGTTGATTATTCACTTGGTGAGAGCTCACATGTAACGATGTTGGATACACCACAGGAAGCCACTGTTGACTTAAGTAACTTAACGCGAAAGAAAAGAAGGAGGCTAAGAAACAGAGCTAAAATCTTACAGGGCAGATTGCAAGGCAGAGAGCAACAATCAGATGGAATGTCTAATCCACTCAACGAGGACTTATCAGTGTTGGGTGCACCGAATGCACAGATTAACAGTGTGAACCATCCACAGAACAACACTGTGGGCCATGTTGAATTTACACAGAGTTTAGGTACAACACAGGGCCACCATGGGCAGAACATTGTGGACCATCCACTGGGCAACACTGTGAGCCATGGTGAATTAACACAATCTGTAGGTTCAACCCAGAGCAACAGTATGAACCATCAACAGAGCAGCAATGTTGGCTATCCACAGAACAACACTGTGGATTATGGC